GACTTATAATTTGATACGTTAGATGAGCGTTTCGTCTTCATAAGACTCATCAGTTAAAACAATTTAATTAGAGATTTTTTTTATGTATTTCTAGTCTACCTACCTACCTATCCTCTTCGCTCCTGGCTGAGCATAAGGTCACCACAATATTTCGCCATCCAGCTCTGTCTTTAGTCTTTGTTTCGGCTTCTCCCCAGGTCATGTCAAGCTCCTTCAGTTCTGCTTCAATCGTTCGTCGCCAGGTGGTTTTGGTTCTTCCTCTTAATCTCTTCTCCTGGGGCGTCAATCTAAGAGCTATCCTAGTTATATTAGATATAGGCATCCTGAGTACATGCCCCAGCCATCTGAAGCTCCTCTGTCGAATTTCCTTGAGGATACATGTGGATTCGGTCATTTCAAGGAGACGTTCATTTGAAATCCGGTTTGGCCAGAAGATTTTGTAGATTCGCCTCAGACAATTGTGGTGGAAACTTGAGAGCGATCTCATATCTGTTTTTGTTACTCTCCAGCATTCACTTCCATACAGAAGGACAGATTTAACATTACTGTTATATAGCCTTATCTTTGTTTTCCTGTTGTATTGTTTGGACTTCCAAATGAGTCGTAGTCTTTGAAATGCAGATCTTGCCTTCGCATCCTACTTTTAATATCTTTTTGTGTTGGATCTTCTGTACTAACCACAGTTCCTACATAAGTAAATTTATCTACCTGTTGGATTGCTGTGCCCTCAGATTTTAGTCCTAAGTTGGATGTTGTGTTAAGTCGCATTTCTTGAGTCTTTTTTGCGTTCAATTCTAGTCCAATTTGGCTTGCAAAATGGCTGAGCCGATTTCTCTTTTCCTGCATATTATCTTGTTTTGATGACAGCAGTGCTATATCATCAGCAAAGTCAAGGTCCTCTAGGGTTGTAAACATTGACCATGTGATGCCTCTTTTTTTGTCACTGGTGGTCTTCCGCATCACCCAGTCAATGGCAACCAGGAATAAGATGGGTGAGATGAAGCAGCCCTGTCGTACTCCAGATTTTACTTCAAACCAGTCAGTTTCCTTGTTCTTGAGTATCACATGGTACTCCATATGATATAAGGATTGTCCTCTCTGTCTCTCTGTGTAAACTGTCGAATGCTTTCTTGAAATCAATAAAGTTGATATATAGAGTTGTCTTCTATTCAATACACTGCTCAATGATGTTTCTAAGAGCAAAGATCTGACCAATGCATCCTTTCCCTTTTCTAAACCCAGCTTGTTCCTGTCTTAGGCTGTCATCCAGTTCGGAGTCTATCCTGTTTAACAGTACTCTGCAAAACACTTTACTTGGGATTGAGAGTAATGTTATCCCTCTCCATATGTCACAATTCCCAAGATCGCCTTTCTTCGTTAGTTTAATGATAAGACCTTTTGCCCAGTCATCAGGGATTTTATTTTCTTATTTTCCCATATGTCTTTGAAGAGATCATGTAGTATGACTGTTTCTGTGTTGATGTCAGCTTTCAGTAGTTCAGCTTGAATCCCATCTATGCCTGCTGCCTTTCCTGAATTCATGGATTTAATTGCCTTTGTAATTTCTTCTTTAGATGGTGGGTCAGTGCTAATATCTAGATCTTGAAATTGTGGTGCTCCCTGAAATTCATTTATTGGTTCTGGTCTATTCAAAACAGCCTTCAAGTGTTCTACCAAATGTCCAGCCTGTTCCCTTTTAGTTGTAATGATTTTTCCATTTTTGTCTTATACTGGAGGTGGTTGTTTGAATTGTCCACATAGTTCTTTTGTAATCTTGTAGACTGTACTCAAATCACCTCTTGCGGCAGCCTTTTCTGCTTCGCCAGCTCGTTCTTCCAGATGGTTCCTTTTATTTTTTCTAGCTGTTTTCTTTACCTCCTTATCTTTCTCTGCATATTCTTTCTGTGTTTGTTCTTTTAACCTTGATGATCTAGTGCTGAGGACCTTTTCTTTGAGGTTTGCTCTTTCATCAATTGCTTGCCATGTATCTGATGTTAACCATTGTTTTTTGCTGATCTTACGGAAGCCAATGATATTTTCACTTGTGTTTCGATACACCTCTTTGATGTTTTCCCATATCTTTTCTATGGAACTGTCTTCAGTTTGCTCAATTTCCTCTAATACTCGAAATCTGTTTCTGAGTTCAATGACAAAACATTTGTTTGATTTCAGGTTCTTTCAGACGGTTGATATTGAGGATCTTTCTCCCAGGTTTGTTATTGTCCGGTACCCTTTTCAGCTTCAGTTGGAGTTTAGCTATAACTAAATGATGGTCGCTGTTCACATCTGCTACTCTAAATGCTCGGGTTTCGAGTAACGATCGTCTCCATTTGCCATTTATGATGATGTGGTCAATCTGATTTTTGTCCCTGTAGTTTGAAGAAATTCCACGTAATTTTGTGTATGTCTTTATGTTTAAATAGGGTTCCTCCAAAAACTAATCCATTAGTTGAACACGTATTTGCAAGTCTCTCTCCATTCTCATTCATTACGCCATGACCTTCTTTTCCCATAGCTCTTTCATGCTCTGTATTTACTTTCCCAACCTTAGCATTTTGGTCTCCTATAATAAGAAGTGTTGTCTTGGCATAGCTGGAATTAAAGCGAGCTCTGATCAATTGCTCATTTATAGGTTCCCATTCTATCAAGCTCTTCATACATTCCTTATTCATAATGATTGCCACTCCTTCTGTATGTTGGTTGTCATTTCTGCCGGAGTAGATGATGGTATGACCCTGTGTGATAATTTTTCCTCACTCTATCCACCTGCATTCACTGATGCCTAATATCCCTAGTTTGTACCTTTCCACCTCTCTTATGACTTGCGCAGTCTAGTCTAACATCATATAAACAATATTTACCAAAAATTTAAGCACCAAACTTTTGTTACTTCATTTTTTGGTAATTATAAATGTTGTGACAGCTCATAGATTTATAATAACTTGTTAGCTTGGTTGGTCGAAAGTATGAAAAATTAACCATATCATTTAATTATTAATCATGCATTAAACTGAATGCATATTTCTCATTGAGTTTTTTTTAAATATAACTACCTTTTCGTTGATCACTGTTGTGTATTAAAGAATGACAACTGCTGTAATACGACTAAATTCAATTTAAAAAACATTATATCCAGCTCACAGCAAATAATACAACTGCTTGTTTTTATATACAATTTCTAGCACACGTCCCTTCTATATCCAAGAACTTCTCCATTTCGAAAGACAGGGTCTTTGATCTATATTATTGAACAATTTACATTAGTTTCGGGTATAGTTGCATTCAGAAAAAAAAGTAAAACATCAATACTGAACTTCAAGACAAATTCAAAAAGGGGAAGTCTATTAAAGCTAACAAAAGCTTTCAATCAACGGAACGCGTAAAAGCAACTGCTTGATGCTGGCTCTCCCGAAGTGAGTTAAACGGCCAGGTATAGACATTTCATATCTGCAACAGAGAGACGCACGAAGCTCTACGAGCAATTTGAAAATGTTCCATTAAGATGGTATGTTGGACTTGTAAACCGTTTACCAGAATCCGATAGTGATTCAATTTTTTCCAATGGGACTATTGTTCGTTCTCTGTTCAGCTATCACTCGACAAAGAAGTACAGATGTCCCATTAGTGTTATTATGCTTTAAACATGTTCTCGTAGTGACCAAGACAGGATCAGCGAATTACTTCTCCTCTTTACGTTATTTCTTGTGACATGAACGTGTTATGCGTTTCATGTCAAGTGTAATGTCAGAAAACCAAGTATTTCCCTTAACTTTTACCCTAGCATTGCAATAGTTATACACAGGCATGGTTTAATGGAACCTTATTACACTAATCGAGATTAATCAAGACCCTGTAAGCACAGAGTGTCTGCTCTGAATCTTAAAGGGTGTCTTAATCTAGGATACTTAAAAAAATATTATTCATGGTACCATTTATTTTGGCGACGCATGCGGGTTTCGACAATTAATGTTTCTTTAAAGATGCACGATGCTAAACAATTGAAAATCCAAAACCTACATCAATTATCATTTATTCCTATAAGAGTGACAGTCTACTACCTTTATCAAAAATTTTACTTGTTCATAGATTTTGCCTTGTTGATGTTTTTTTGTGATTTAAAGTGTTTATTTATCTATTATAGTTTTTATCGTGTAAGGCAAAAAGCAAAAAACAAAAACAAAAAATGGTAAAAATCCGTCATTAAAAGGCAATATTTCTAAAAGGAGTAGTCGAACAATTTCTTCTATTTTTTCTAATTGTAGATCTTGTCTTGCTGATAAGTTTTGCTTATTTAAGTTTCTATCTATCTATTAAATTTTTAAAGGTATAAGGCAAAAACGCAAAAAAAAAAAAAAAAATGGTAGACAAACATCATCAAAGGGCAATAACTCTAAGAGTTTGCTGACGATTTTGACAATGTTAGACTTATTTTTAGAATTTGTCTTGCTGATCATTTTTGCAATTTCATGTTTCACTAATATCTATTATAGTTTTTTAAATAATAGTCAAAAATGTAAAAGAAAAAAGGTAAAATTGGTCAATAAGGGCAATAACTCCTACATGTATTAGAAGTTGTCGGACTGTTTTGATGTATATGTGCACAATTGGCAGGGCTCATCATTCTCAACATTTCTGCTCCTATCAGATTTTTCTCTATTTATAACGGCTTTCAAAATAAGACAAAACAAGCATTTTACCCCTATGGTCTATTTTTAGACAAAGTAGCCATCTTGGTTGGCAGGTGGAGTCATTGGACACATTTTCAAAATTGAATACCCCTATGACGATTGTGGCAAAGTTTGGTTAAATTTGGCGCAGTAGATTTAGAGGAGAACATTTTTGTAAAAGTTAACAGGCGACAACGACGGACGACGAAGTAATGATAAAAGCTAACTTGGCCCGTTCCGCCAGGTGAGCTAAAGACATTATACATATTTTTGAAGTCTGTTTTATGAGTTTATTCTAGAGGTTTTTAATGCTTTGTTCTACTTTTTTTTCAGTTTAACCATTAGTAACTGATTTGCAGTTCGTTTTAATATTGTGTTGTTACACCACTGTCAAACGTTAAAATGACTCATGGAAGTGCCAAACGATCACAAACATGTGAAAACCCACTCATATGCTTGAGATGCCTGTCCGGTGCTACAAGCCTGTAACTCAGTGGGTGTCATTGGTTCATGTCTGTCTTATTTGTTTTAATAAATTGTAATGTTGTAAATGAGACTGTCAGTTTTTTTTAATTTGAATTGTTTATAATCTTTCATGTTCTGGTCTTTTCAGCATGTTTTTCTCTCATTATTGATTGCCGTATATAGACCTTTAACCACATCTTTTAAAGTTTGGTGGATAGTTGTCTTATTGCCAGTCATAGTACATATTCTATTTTCTATCTATTTATTTTTTATTGGCTTCATTCTTTACTTTCAATGATTGAAGTTTTAAGACAAAAAGTACTAAACCAAAATAAAATCAACACAATTTATAATATAGATAGAATCCTGGGTACCTCTATTAATGAATAATACAAAAGTTATAGGTACTTTTAATGTTTAAGGCCTTCTTGTGATATCTAAAGGCAAGGTTGTACTACAAAATGCCAACTAAAATGACAGACAGTGTACCAAAATATAATGGTTGTTTCCAAACTTTGTTTGGAAAATCGAAGTGATACAGGTATCATATATTATATACTTTAACCCTGCCGCATTTTTGCGCCTGTCCCAAGTCAGGAGCCTCGGATCTTTGTAAGTGTTGTATGATTGTTAGTTTCAGGTCATTTATATATTTCAAAGATAAGTATGACGTCTATTATCACTGAAAGAGTACATATGTTGTTTAGGGGCCAGCTGAAGCATGACTCCGGGTGCGGGATTTTCACGCTGTATTGAAGACCCTTAGTGGCGTTCGGCGGCTGTTTTCTGTTCATTGGTCGGATTGTTGTCTCTTTGACACGATCCCAATTTTGATTCTCAATTTCATTGTTAGTTTGATGTAGCAAATAATGATATGGATTTCTACAAACTTATTGGTATAGACAGCTATAAACATATACATGTATATAAAAGATATTTTTATTTGTTTCATATGATGTTTCTGTATGGTTAACTGCACATCAAGTAAACAAAAACATTCTATAATACATACATACAACATACATAATTTTAAAAAATATATCTGGTAAGGCTAAGTTTGCATGATGTATGTTAAATAGAAAGAAACATTTTCTAGCATATATGTTTTGAAAGTGACATGTTTATATATGGTTAACTCTACTTGAAAATCTATAAATATTGTTTAGGGGATATCTCAATGAGATGAGTATTCGTAGAATGACTTAATAAGAAAATATAACACAACTGTCTGTTAAACAGTCAAATATTCTACATCAGAATTCTCTATAAAATGAAATCAACCAAAGATAAAAGCAAACTGGCAGTACATAACATTTATAAGTGTTGATGTTAAATCGATTGAGGACAATACCCATCGAAAAGAAAAATGAAAGTTTGCTATATCAAACTCGGTGGGCCTCTATCATGTTTATTTTGACATAAAAGGTTCTGTTTGATTCTGAATACCCCGGGTTTATCCATGTAGTGCCATTATTAACTTTGCCCTGTAACCCCTACTTTTTATTTCAAAGTTTATAATATTTGGATTAAAAAGCCATTCATGAAAATCTTTTAAAATCTTTATTTTTTTTTTTAAAGTTTTTTAAAAGTAAAAGGGTGCTAAACTGCTAATGTTAAATAATAGAAAGATCTAGAGAAAATCATTTCCCGTCAAAAAGTCAATAACTTAACAATGAGGTCACACTCTTTCATTTATGTTTGCTTTTTTATAAACTATCAGTTTATAAGTCTTTTATAAAGCTTGTTATTTTCCAAAAAAAGAACAGCCAACACCATTTAACTGTCAATTTCCAATCAACCATAATTCCTGAACAGCAAAATTGTTAATCACGTTTATAAAAGAATGCACTGAACAAGTTAATTTCACAAGAACCAACATGTAAATGCTATAAACAATCATATAAATACTTGAGCATTAAACTCCAACATATACTACTGATGTATTTACATTCGACTATACCGAACAATCAAGTGTCTCAATTATCTATATAAGACTTATTACTTATATTTCTATATTACTTCACAATTAAATGTATTTACATGCGTCTTAACTGAACAATCAAGTGTCTCAATTATCTATATTAGACTAATGACTCATATTTCCGGATTACTTTACAAATAAAATGTATTAACAAATAATGAAGAATACAATTACTCAATACTATACATACAATTCAATGATGAACAGTTGAATGATTCAAGAATCTGCATTTTACAGCACTTTACAATTAAAAGAGGGGCGAAAGATACCAGAGGGACAGTCAAACTCATACATTGAAAATAAACTGACAACGCCATGGCTAAACTACAGGCTCTGAAGAGCCTGTGTCACTCACCTGTATTTACTGATACTTTGGAAATCATGTAAAATAGATTAAAATCATAATTAATAGTATTAGATATTAGATATTATAATGATATCTAAGATAATAACAAAAAACTGCAAAATTTCTGTAAAATTACTAACTCAGGGGCAGCAACCCAACAACAGGTTGTCGGATTCGATTGAAAATTTTATGGCAGATAAATCTAAATCTGATGAACATTTTTGCCACTTGTCAGATTTGCTCTAAATGCTTTAGTTTCAGAGATATAAACCAAAAACTGCATTTTACCGCTATGTTTTATGTTTAACCAAGTCAGCCATGATGGTTGGAAGGCAGGGTCATCAGACAAATTTTTTAAACTAGATACCCTAATAATGATTATGGCCAAGTATGGTTAAATTTGTCTCAGTAGTTTCAGAGGAGAAGATTTTTGTAAAAGATCACAAAAATTTACAAAAAATTGTTAAAAATTGACTATAAAGGGCAATAACTCCTAAAGGGGTCGACTGACAATTTTGGTCATGACAACTTATTTGTAGATCTTACTTTGCTGAACATTATGGCTGTTTACAGTTTATCTCTATCTATAATAATATTCAAGATAATAACCAAAAACTGCAAAATTTCCTTAAAATTACCAATTCAGGGGCAGCAACCCAACAACAGGTTGTCAGATTTGTCTGAAAATTTCAGGGCAGATAGATCTTGACCTGATAATCAGTTTTAACCTATTTCAGATTTACTCTAAATGCTTTGGTTTCAGAGATATAAGCCAAAATCTACATTTTACCCCTATGTTCTATGTTTAGCCATGACGGCCATCATGGTTGGTTGGCAGGGTCATCGGACACATTTTTTTAACTAGATACCCTAATGATGATTGTGGCCAAGTTTGGTTAAATTTGGTCCAGTGGTTTCAGAGGAGAAGATTTTTGTAAAAAGCTATCGACGACGACGACGGACGACGGACGCCAAGTGATGAGAAAAGCTCACTTGGCCCTCCGGGCCAGGTGAGCTAATAAAAAGACACACTATAAAATATCAATTGGAATGGCTTAACTCAAGCAAAAGATGTAGTGATCAAATGAACATCGTTGAACGAATAAATTTGATCTACGATACAATGTAAATATACTCCGTATGTAGGCGCTGCTGGAATGTTGCTACATTGAAAAGGAAAGTTCTCAATTGGGAAGCTGAAATCATCTCTTTTGTCGTAAAGTTTTGTTTTCAACCGACCCTCATTGTCAATTTCTAGATGTAAGTCAAGATATGAGGCAGACTTAACTGTATCTGTAGTATCCTTTATCTTTAGTTCGATGGGATAGATTCGTTCAACATAGTCACCAAATTTGTATTACTTAGTGAGAGAACATCATCTATATAGCGGAACGTAAAGTTAAAGGATTTTGCTAACTTATCTTTTTTCCTAAGAAGTTCCTGATGCATAGATGACGCATTAAACAACAAAACAATTAAAAAAAAATAGGACTAAAGTATTAACACTAGAATGCACTGAACAATCAAAACTTTATCAGAATGCATGGAGCAACAGAATGAATCATTAATCTATTGCATGATACAGTGAACAATCAATTGATTCAAAAATCTGCAAATATGCACTGAAAAAAAACCACACGAATCTACATAATTTTACACCAAGCAATTACATAACACAAGAATCTCTATCAAACTCAGGAATATGGACTAAAACACTCTTTAATAACAAAAACGTACATTTTAATTGATTTATAAGTTAATGCTTATTTAAAATGATTCATGAAAAACCCCAAGACTGCAGTTTGATCTAAATGTTTATTTTTGTTTGAAATATCAAAGAGAGAATCTGCCCCTTCTCTAAAATTAAGACTATTATTTCAGGGTGAACAGAAATAGAAATAATGTATCCATATAGAACGATTTTTGGTAAGCTATTCATACAAATTCTTTAACTGTTATAAATCAACATTTTGGCGGAACTAAAGGAAATTTAAAGGAGTCCAACCTTATTTAGATATGCAAAACATAAAAAAATTATCAGATTATTTCAGAAAACAAACTGAAAGATTTTCACAAAACATGCTCGATATGTTTCCTATCCTTAAAGTCAAAACATATTGTCCTGTTTTCATTCAACTATGATAATTCGACGAATACTGATTATGCATTGGTTTTTCCTATAGAGTCAAATTTCAGCTATTATGCATTGTTTCAACAACCATTTAATTCTTATTCAAACTGTTTGATAGAAAGATCAAGCTTAAGTCTACTTTTCATCGAAACTCTCAAGTGATAAGCAGCAAATGAAAGTATTAAAGGGGCACTAGCTACGAGATATATAAAAAATTTAAAATATGATTTTTTTTGTTGAATCATTAATGAAAGTAAAATAGTGAAATAATTATTCGCTTTTAGCAGCCAGTATGGTTCAATTTGTCGATATAAGCTAAGAAACATTGATGATGAATTATTCACTTGCAAGTGAATAATTCGACCTCATTGAATCCGTATTCATGTGAACTTCAATTTAACCCCTTAGCTAGAGATGGATAACGCATGCATTGTGCGTGTAAAGTTATTTAAAGGAAAAGAAAGTCAACATTGAAAGTGAAACAAAGGTAAATCATTTGATTGACTGATTCGATCCACAACAAATCATTCTTATACAGGTAAAAACGATGATAAACATATATTTTTAATCTATAATATGAAATTAAACAGACCTAGAAAAATCCAAAAGCACGAGTTCGCTTAATCTATTTATTTCTATATTTATGTTTACATCGCTTATATGGTCATCGGAGGACTTCGGAGGTCAACTCGATAGTTAATTAGATGGCGTCTAGACTAGAATACACATGAAACGAAGCTACATATTATCGAGGCCATGCCTTGTAAATTGTTTATTTTAGACTTTTAATAGATGGATAAATGTTATAAATTGTTATGAATCAAATTGGTGAACATGAATTTGACAGCTAGTGCCCCTTTAAGTTATTTTCTCCGTATATTAAATAATAAAATGCTTCGCTGAGCGCAGCCTGATACAACCGCAGAGGTCGAACCCTGAACAGTTAGGGCAAATTTGGACACAATATTCAAGCTTGATAAAGTCTGGATTTAGTTTGTGATCAAATTTTTGACATAAGATAGGTTTCTGACACAAAATAAATGCGGTCAAAGATCTTTTGCGCAATATGTGCATTTGATGACTTCTTCTTGAAACTTTTCAAATAATTTGAAATTTGAAAAATTTTGAAAAAAAAAAATATGAACCCCTTAAAAAAATTGGAAAAAAAAAATCCCCCAAACATTTTGAACCCCCCGCAATTGGAGCAATTACCCCCAAACTCAATCCCAGCCTTCCCTTTGTAGTATGGAACCTTGTAGTGTAATTTTAGAGAGATCCATACACTTAAACACAAGTTATTGTCTGGAAACTACAAAAATGCTTCTTTTGTAGCCCCCCTTTTAGCCCCTGATTCCTGCATGTTTGGGGCAATTACCCCAAACCTCAATCCAAGCCTTCCCTTTGTTATATGGAACCTTGTGGTTTCAATGTCAGAGAGATCCATACACTTACACACAACTAATTGTCCGGAAACTACAAATGTGCTTGTTTTGGGCCCCTTTGTGGCCCCTACTTCCTAAACTGTTGGTACCATAACCCCATTAATCAATCCCAACCTTCCTTTTGTGGTATTGAAATTTCGTGTAAAATTTCATAGAGATCCATTTGCTTAAACTAAAGTTATTGTCTGGAAAAAAAATATGTCTTCGGACGACGACGCAGTCCACGACGACATCATAGCATTATACATACCCAACAAATTTTTTGCGGTCATATAAAAACAAGAAATTATTTGAATCTGGAATTATTTTGAATTCCGACAAATTGATAAGAAAGGTTTGACACATGCTTAATGAAAAGTAACATAAATAGGGACGGTTAACCATGCGTGCATGGCTATTAAGGGGGTTATTTAGTTCCTACTGAAATATTAATAAAGTAAAATGAACCTTAGCCATGCGTGCATGGCTAACCCTACTTTGTTGGGTTAGTTTTCATCATAAATTTCTAAGTTATTTTCCCGAATGCAAAACTATTCCAGTCTCAAATTATTTCTTGTTTGAACTAGAATTTGCCCTAAAATTGCTATAAAATGTAAGTTTCAATTAAAACATATCATTTAACAATTAATCTTTCAGATTAATATATAATGAATACTTGTTTTCAATGAGTCCTTTTGTACTATCTTCCTTCCTTTTTATTGACCATTCACTGTGTATAATTTGGAAACAAGAATGTGTACATAGTACACGGTTGCCCCACTTGCACTTTCATTTTCTATGTTCAGTGGACTGTGATATTGGAATCACAACTCTAATTTGGCATTGCAATTATAAAGATCCTATCACAGAGAACATGTGTACTCAGTTTCAAGTTGAATATACATCAACTTCATCAACAAGAGTGCACACGCTGAAATGTCTCGCCTTCTTTACTAATCATTGATATTATGTTGGTAGTCCTTAATATAAAGCTTTATTACAACTGTCACATAAACTTAACATTAACAAAGTAAACTAAACATTGACCAATGAACCATGAAAATGAGGTCAAGGTCAGATGAACCATGCTAGGCAGGCATATACAGCTAACAATTCTTCCATACAACAAATATAGTTGACCTATTGCTTATAGTTTAAGAAAAACAGACAAAACACAAAAACTTAACACTGAGCAATGAACCTTGAAAATGAGGTCAAGGTCAAATAAAACCTGTGTGACTGACATATAGATCATAAAATATTTCCATACACCAAATATAGTTGAACTATTGCATATAGTATTAGAAAAAAAAGACCAAAACTCAAAAACTTAACTTTGACCACTAAACCATGAAAATGAGGTCAAGGTCAGATGACACCTGCCAGCTAGACATGTACACCTTACAATCATTCCATACACCAAATATAGTAGACCTATTGCATACAGTACAAGAAAAACAGACCAAAACACAAAAACTTAACTATAACCACTGAACCATGAAGATGAGGTCAAGGTCAGATGACACCTGCCAGCTAGACATGTACACCTTGCAATCATTCTATACACCAAATATAGTAGACCTATTACATACAGTATAAGAAAAACAGACCAAAACACAAAAACTTAACTATAACCACTGAACCATGAAAATGAGGTCAAGGTCAGATGACACCTGCCAGTTGGACATGTACACCTTACAGTCCTTCTATACACCGAATATACTAGACCTATTGCTTATAGTATCTGATATATGAACTTGACCACCAAAACTTAACCTTGTTCACTGATCCATGAAATGAGGTCGAGGTCAAATGAAATCTGTTTGACAGGCATGAGGACCTTGCAAGGTACGCACATACCAAATATAGTTATCCTACTACTTATAATTTTAACATTACAAAAAATGTTAACTTTTTTTTCAAGTAGTCACTGAACCATGAAAATGAGGTCAAGGACATTGAACATGTGACTGACGGAAACTTCGTAACATGAGGCATCCATATACAAAGTATGAAGCATTCAGGTCTTCCACCTTCTAAAATATAAAGCTTATAAGAAGTTAGCTAACGCCGCCGCCGGATCACTATCCCTATGTCGAGCTTTCTGCGACAAAAGTCGCAGGCTCGACAAAAACTACATTGACCAAAAACTTTGAGCTGAAGCAGGACAGACAGACAGACGAACAGACGAACAAACGAATGCAATAATGAACGAACGAACGAATGGACTGACCGAAAAAAATAATGCCCATAGTTGGGCCATTAAAATGTGTGCGATTAATTTACACCTAAATACATTTTGATTTCATCAACTAAGATACAAAAAAGGATGGATACATTCCATTTAACAAATATATAACCGAATAAATGATGGGTACATCCAAAAAGAACAACTGTCTGTAATTTGGACTTTGCAACAGCTATCTCTAGTGCACCTTTTTCTATGTGGTCTGTTTGCTGTACTTCATGCAGGGTTCATTTGAGTAGATTTGAAAAAGCAAGCTGATTTTTTTTTCTTCTTTTACAGAAATTGTTTCAATTATTTCCCAGTATTTTCATATTTCACTGTTTCGAACGATCTACTGGTCGTTGTGTTTTAACGTGTTGATTATTTCAAAGTAATTCTTCTGTAGACGTATTTTATATGCTGGAACCTCTTCTAAATCTAAAAAAAAATATAATTGTATGTTATAAATCAGTCAGTCCACTTTGACAATCCTTGAAATTAATATCATACATTTGGGTATATCATCATATAAGATACTGTAAATAAAGGCAACAGTAGTATACCGCTGTTCGAAACTTATAAATCGATAGAGATAAAAACAAATCTGGGTTACAAACTAAAACTGAGGGAAACGCATCAAATATAAGAGGAGAACAACGACACAACAAAAACACAACATTAAAATGTAACACACACAGAAACGAACAATAATATAACAATGGCCATTTTCCTGACTTGGTACATGATTTAAACCAACTTATTTTTGCGGATACTTTATTTCGCGTTTAGCCTTTTCTAGCCCATTTAGCGCTGATTTAATTTCGCGATTCTCAAATTTACTTAATGAAGTTAAGTAAGAAAAAAAGTTTTACATATTCCCGACGATTTATATTCGCAATATTTTTCTACTCGCAAAAGTTGCGAAAATAAATCGCTCTCGAAAATTAGTTGGTTTACAGATATATAAATGACCTTTTCAATTAATTTGCCTCTAATTCTAATTTATTAGTATATCTAGCCTCGATGTAGATGTACCTATTTGTTGTTTTAAGTTGCCTTCTAATAAATAGCTTTCTAATAAAAAGTTAATTTCTGTTTTCAATCATATTTACATTTCCTCTTAATCTTTCACAAATTTCAATATAGTATGCATATGTCATGGAATTTAGCACAATTTGAGATTTTAGCACAAAATCTCCTTGAAGGAAGAATGTTTCAGCCATTTTCTTGACCATGTTTGTAGTATTTTCGATTCTCTGTTAGAAGATTCAATATAATTAGCAAAAATCATACAATTCTTCAGAAAGCAATCATCAATAAACATTATAAATTAAAGGTAATAAAGAGAATCGCATTTTGGCTGATTCACGCTACAGCGTATACAATTTTAATCCTTGTTTCTATGATGGGTTTATTAGTAGGGTAAGGGAATTTATATGACTGATGGTTTAAGAATTTAGTGACGTCTAAGGGTCAATTAAGGGCTTATATTAATCCGCTATGTCGTGGTACCTTATCACTTATGATTTTTTTTATACTTATCAGCATATTTTATAAGTAATGAGATGTTCTAAATAATTCAACCTGGGCTGTATAGCCAGGGGACCCTAAAAGTGGGTTTAACATCAAAATTCAACAAAATAAAAGTTCAAACAAAGACATCAGTATGTAATATATATACATGTTTATCTGTTATGTGAAGTATAATGCTTTAATATTAATTAAGGGTGGACTAAAAGCTGATTAATGAAAACTAACGACATAAGAGCATACACATTCAATATCAATTACAAACGTTTTAAAAAGACAGTTGATAAGTTCATTACATCTAGCTTTAATATTTATAGATAATATGCACACATACAGATCCTACCTAATTTTGAACTTTGACAATCATTCTCCGACTCTTTTATCAAATTGTCTGCGATCTCGTTGTAACCACAATCTTTTAATACATCAATAAACACATTGTTGGTTGTCCCTCCCCTTCCAATCACTATATTGAGCAATTTTTTGGTCCGACCATCTTGCCTTTTGTCATTTTCAATGACGCGTCTGTCGTCTACTGATATTACCAAATGTGTCATCATTCGATCTAAGATTTCACTTACATCTAATATATGCTGCACGATATAGTTATAGTTATCTTTGATGGTGCCTGAAATCGGATAAGATAACACTTTTGGTAAGATACTTTTCATAACTGTTGTCTTTATATACTTTATTTTATTATAATGTGTCTTTTTCTGAGATCATTCTGTACATACTGCATATAAACGTTACATACGATACATCATAAAAATAACAGAGGTGTGGTTTATCATTGCGAATGAAACAACTTTGTATATTTAGTCTATTTGCTAGGTATTTTTATGCTTTTTATCGATATGACTAGCACTGTTCTATGGACTTTTACATGTTGGTCCTATGTTGTGCTGCTACACATTTTCCCCCAGGTTAGGCGCCCGTAAATCTGTTTTAATTCCACCAAATTCTATGTGTTCCTGTTCTGAGTCAGGAATCTGTTATGCAGTGGTTATTGTTGATTGCTGTAGACAATATATATATATATATTTTTGTTTAGTCATAAAGCTGACAGTTTGTCTTTTCTTTTGATTTTTTGTCACAGTTTACCATACCCACGTCTTTTATAGTTGACAATACAGTATGATTGTGTCTTGTCATTTGAACAACAGCACATTTTGTCATGTCGGCGCATTTTAAAGCTAGCTGACAAAACTATGTGTTTTGCTTATTGTTGAAAGCCATACTGTGACCTATAGATGCTTAAATCAACTTATTTGTCCAGTCAGCAAGCACATCACATTTCCCCATCGTATAGTTATCATTAAAACCTTAATCCCTGAGGTCAGAGGAAGGTTTCCTATGTAAGACTAATATAAAGACCTTCGAAGGGTACCCATCCATATGCCGATTCTATTTTTTTTCCACAAATGTAAAAAAATGTAATATCTTTATACTTTATTAATCATTGCATATGGTGTAGAGTATACAAATGACTGATGTATTTTCAGTTGCTCGACGTCTTGTGGAAAATGCATGTAAAGGAAAACATGGTGGGGAGGCATGCATAGCAGGAGATTATGTTTTGTAACTTGAATTGTCTTCTTAATCAAGTTATGGAAATTAACATAGATAAACTGTTAACACAGAGATATGTCTCGCCTTTTTGTAATTTTGATAATGCAAATGTTGAAATTAAAATAGCAATACTTCAACATGTAAGTTATGCAAATATTCAAAGTTGATGAACCATGACTGAAGATACATGGCTAAACAATCTCCATGGAATGAGATGTGCCAATGCTAAACTATGTGAAAGTTTCAAAGTCAATGAACCATGATCAGGGCTGGGGCTATATAATCTCCATGGAAACGATACTTTGCATACCAAATATCATTGACTTAACATTAGCAGTTCATCTTAAACTGATCTAATCACAAACTAATACATGTAAACTAAGCAAAAGTTTCAAAGTAAACAGACCATGACTGAGGGGGCGGAGTCAAATAATCTCCATGGAAATGAGATATGCCAATGCTTATACAACTGCATACCAAATATCATTGACCTACCACTAGTGGTTCCCCATAAATTGACCTAATCACAAACTAATACATCGCTCACCTGTTATTTTTTTGCTTAAATCTTTCATCAATGATTATTTTTGCTTTTTACCCATATGTTCCATTTTAGCCATGTTTATGTTTCTTGACGTACAAGGAAATGAAATACAAAATTTATACTAGATTCATTTGAGAAGATTTTTAAAGTTAAAAAACATAAAACTACTTGTGTAAAATTGTCCTTGAAGGGCAATAACTCCTTAAGGGGTCAATTGACAATTTTGGTCATATAAAACTTTTTTGTAGATCTTACTTTGCTGAACATTGTTGCTGTTTACAGTTTATCTTTATCTTCAATAATATTCAAGATAATAACCAAAAACTGCAAAATGTCCTTAAAACAACCAATTTAGTGGCAGCAACCCAACAATTTCAGGGCTGATAGATCTTGACCAATTGAACAATCTTACCCCATGTCAGATTTGCTCTAAATGCTTTAGTTTCTGAGATATAAGCCAAAAACTGCATTTCACCCCTATGTTCTATTTTTAGCCATGGCGGCCATGTTTGTCGATGGATACAAATTTCGGATACAATTCATAAACTAGATTCCTAAAGGAACATTCATTCAAAGTTAAGAAGTATTAGGCACAATAGTTTCAGAAGAGAAGATTTTTAAATGTTAGCAAACTTGATGATCACATTGCGTAAAATTGTCTTTAAAGGGAAATAACTCCTTAATGGGTCAATTGACAAATTTGGTCATTTAACTTTTCTGTAGATCTTACTTTGCTGAACATTATTGCTGTTTACAATTTATATATATCTATAATAATATTCAAGATAATAACAAAAAACTGCAAAATTTCCTCAAAACTACCAATTTAGTGGCAGTAACCCAACAATGGGTTGTTCGATTTGTCTGAAAATTTCAGGGCTGATAGATCTTGACCAATTGAACAATTTTTCCTCATGTCAGATTTGCTCTAAAAGCTTTAGTTTTTGAGATATAAGCAAAAACTGCATTTGACCCCTATGTTCTATTATTAGCCATGGCGGCCATGTTTGTCGATGGATCAAAACTTCGGATACAATTTATAAACAAGATACCCTAAGGAACATTTAATTTAAGTTTGAAGATATTTGGCCCAGTGGTTTCAGAGAAGAAGATTTTTGAAATAGTTTACGACGACAGACGACGGAGGCCAAGTGATGGCATAAGCTCACATGGGGCCCTTTGGGCCCCGGTGAGCTAAAAAAGGGAGACCTGAATTAGATGTTTATTTTTGAATGATGTAAATTTTTGGGACAAAGTAAATCAGCATATTTTTTTTTTCAATATGAATAACATCTTTTTCTTCAATTGATTATAAAGTCTAGTAAGTATATTTTTTTTCAAATTGAAGATATAACGGATTACAAATTAAAAAAAAAACACATACCTTTATGGTCACACTTCTGTTCCTGTAAAAAAAGTGACACATCTAAAACAACATACTTATATTTTTTTTCAAAATCTATGAACACCACTTCATAATAAGATCGGTATTGATCTTGTGTTTTTTTGTGTTGCTGTCTCATTGTTCTAATGTAGCAATGGAATAGAAGGGTGTTTTATTAAGATACAGGGCCGATGTTTACTTTTGGTACCAATTGCAATTTCCCATTTATTTCTAGTGATTGCATGGCAATCTGAACTTTCTGGTCTATTTTCGAATTATTCAGAAACTGATTGACTATTATCATAATAGATGTAAGGAGGAAAGTTAAAGACTGATGATTTTTTTTTATCGAGCTCGTTTCTACTAAATGTTAATTATTGCATTTTGACAAAGAGAGTTGAACGTATTTGAAAAAAGATGTTCCAGATTTGCTGCGTTATTCTTAATTCAACAATTATCAATATAATATAACATCTCTATAAAATCTCTATAAAATCTAAACAAAAAGAAGTGATGCATACTGGATTAACACATTGATTCCTCATTTGTTCTCCCCATTTAACAGAAGATCTACATGCAGTAATAATTGTAATTTGTATTGATAATTGCATAATATATCATTCTACATTATTTACCAATAAAGACTCATTTGTTAAATATTAAGATGATGTCCACTAAAATGATACAGCTCCTTATGTTTTTAGAAGAGGAAGATTCAGAACTCTTTAGTGGCTGAAATAATTTACAAAACGTAAGAAAAATCTTCACCATGATGTCTGCATTAGAAACAACGACGTCTACACATTTAAAATCATATAACAATTCATGAGTAAGTTTAAGCATTGAAGAAAAAAATGTAACAATGTGACAATTTACTCCAGTGTATATTTACATGTTTTGGAATGAACTATGAAGTCATTTTCCAAACTATGCTGAATCTGATTTACTATACAGGATTTTAGAATACACATTTTAGATTACTGATTTTTTCCCCCTGGACTCCTACATAAAATACTCAGATTATTGTACTGTATTGTTACAACAGCTTACATTTTCTCGAATGATGCTGGTTTGAGTGGTGTCTCCTTTGTCAGATGTCAATCCTGTGGCAACTTCTAAACTCTTTGGTGGCTGGAAAAATTACAAAATGTAAATAGAATGTTTACCAGTGTCTGCATAAGAAACCATGACGTCAACACATTTAAAATCATATCACAATACACGTGCAATTATAAAAGGAATATAGAACATAATATTTTTTAGATGGCTAAAAAGTTTACAAAAAAAAGTAGAATGTGCACTATTGTCTGCATTTTAAACCCCGACGTAAACACATTAAAATCATAGCACAATACATGTGCATTCATAGAAGGAATATCAAATGTAACTATTTACTGCAGTGTTTCTTCAAGTGTTATTATATTTAAATGGTATGAACGAGAGTGTAAAACTAGAGGCGTCTAAGAACCTGTGTCGCTCACCTGATTCTACGTTGGTTTTGGAAATCATGTAAAATAGATTAAAATCATATCTAAATGTGAAGAACGAGAGTGTAAAAAGTAAAATCACAAAAATACTGAACTCAGACGAAATTCAAAACGGAAAGTCCCTAATCAAATGGCAAAATCAAATGATAAGAACACATCAAACAAATGGACAACAACTGTCATATTCCTGACTTTATACAGGCATTTTCAAATGTAGAAAATAGTGGATTGAACCTGGTTTTATAGTGCTAAACCGCTCACTTGTATGACAGTCTAATCAAATTCCATTATATTTACAACGATGCGTGAACAAAACAGACATAATAGGTTAAATTGTCAAAATAGGGGTACAGCAGTCATCACTGTGTCACAATCTCAATCAGAAAAAAAAACAAACAAATTTTCAACAAAGAAGCAAATGTTATCAAAAAGTAACTGTGAACATAATTTGAAATATAATTGTTAAATATCTAATGCGATTAAAGAGTTTTTGATGATCTTTTATTTCACTACTGTAAAATAAAATAGTTTCTACTAACATAATTAAGATACAATACAGATCTTTACATTTGGAATTAATTGCACAATTTAAAGTAAGTTATCGTCTTTTCTTTATAGATTATTGTTGGTCATCTCAATGAGATTGATTTTCTTGCTTGAGCCGGTACGCCGAAAGTGAGAAAAACAATTGAGTTGAGATGACCAATGATAATCTGTTTATTGCTATTTTACCTATGACAACGCTGTTAATTGCATTGACAACGGCACACGCACCCTTAGTTTCTAGCGATATTTTTTCATATCACTCTACTGTGCTGAGAAAAGAAATTATAAGTTAGTAAGATCAAAAGAAAATTGTGTAAAATAGCAATAATGTAGGTTAACGAGGGTTCCCTTTGATTTCTGGGGATTGCACGGGAATCTCAACTATTAATCATTTTCCTAACTATGCAGAATCTGATTTGCTATACTGGATGGTAGTGGAAAATCTCTAGAGTGCTGATTTTATTTGCCTTAACTCCTTCGTTTAATACATAGACGATATTATTATAATGTTACATGTTCTTACATTTTCCGGAATAATGTTGGTCTGAGAGATGCCTTTTATGTCAGCTTCACAACTCTTGGGTGGCTGAAATGAGTTCCAAAATATAAGTAAAATGTTCACTAGTCTTTTTTTTATAGATTATCGTTGGTCAACTCAACGAGATTGATTTTCTCGCTTGAGCTGGTACGACGAAAGGGAGAAAAGCAATCGATTTGAGATGACCAATGATAATCTCTTTATCGCTATTTTACCTATGACGATGTTGTTAATCATGCACCCTTAGTTTCTAGCAAAACTTCTTCATATCACTCTACTGTGCTGAGAAATGAAATTATCAGTTAGTAAGATTAAAAGAAATTTTATAAATATTACGAAACTATAGGTTAACGAGGGTTCCCGTTGGTTTCTGGGGATCACATGGGAATCTCAACTTTAAAGTCATTTTTATTACTATGCAGAATCTGATTTGCTATACCGGAAGGTAGACTGAAATCTCCAGAATGCTGATTTCATTTGCCTTGACTCCTTCATTAAATAAATACATAGACGATTATACTATAATGTTACAGGTTCTTACATTTTCCGGAATAATGTTGGTCTGAGAGATGCCTTTTATGTCAGATGTCAATCCTGAGGCAACAATGTTTGCATTTGAAACCAATTTTAATCATACCACAATACATGTGCATTCATAGAAGGAATATCAAATGGAACAGTTTACGCCAGTGTTTTCTGTAAACAAACTTATTTTCGCAGATACATTATTTCACGTTTAGCCCTTTCTAGCCCCTATCGCGTCTATTTAATTTCGCGACTTTATAATTTACTTGATGTAGTTTAATAAGGAAAGATCCAAGTTTTACATATTATATTATATTATTTATATATATATTTATATTTTGAAATGGACATTATAACATGATGAATTAGAGTGTAAAAGCAATCCTTATCGGTGGATATTATCTATCAGTTACTGCGAACATTATTTGACAGATAATTGTTCAATAGCCAATGACTTTCCAAGAGTGTTTGCACTTAATGTAATAAAAATAGTGTTTATGTAAACATAATTAAGATACAGTACAGATGTTTACATTTTGAATTAATTGCACAATTTTAAGTAAGTTATTGTCGTTGCTGATACATTTACTAGGGTTCTCTTTGATTTCTGGGGATTGCATGGAAATTATAAAATCATTTTCCAAACTGCAGAATTTGATTTGCTATACCAGATGGTAGGTAGAAATCTTCAGAATGCTGATTTCATTTGCCTGGACCCCTTTATAAGATACTTAGGCTGTGTTTACTATCATGTACCAGCTTCTTACGTTTTCTGGAATAATGTTTGTATGAGAGGTGTCTTCTATGTCAGATTTTAATCCTGACGCAGCTTCCAAACTCTTAGGCGGCTGAAATGAGTTACAAAATATAAGTAAAATGTTTACCAGTATCTGCATTCACACCATGACGTCAACACATTTAAAATCAAAGAAGAAATATAAAATGTAACAATCAAGTGCATATTAACATATTTTGACATGGACATCGACACGTGAGGATTTAGAGTTTAAAAACAATCTTTAACAATTTTAAACCTGGTACCTTTTGTTAGCTATTATTCGTATGTTTCTCTGTCCTATATGTTCTCCCATTTATTTGTATTGAAGTCCTGTCATGTAATGCTGTCATTTTAATGTTATATTTAACATTGCCATAAACGCGGGAGGTTTGGCTAGCCACAAAACCAGGTTCAACCTACCATTTTTTTCTTAAAATGTCCTGTACCAAGTCAGGTAAATGGCCATTGTTATATTATAGTTCGTTTCTGTGTGTGTTACATTTTAATGTTGTGTTTCTGTTGTGTCGAAGTTCTCCTCTTATATTTGATGTGTTTCCCTCAGTTTTAGTTTGTAACCGGGATTTGTTTTTTTCTCAATCGATTTATGAATTTCGAACAGCGGTATACTACCCCTGCAAAATGCTGTCCTGAAAAAATCTTTTCTTTCAGGATATCCCAGGAAGTCAGGATATCCCAGGAAGTCCTGGGATATCTCGAAAAACCCCAGCACTGGTCATTTTGTGAATCCTGATATTTCAAGTGTCCCAGGAACTCCCTACAAGTCCTGAAATCTGTTGTCCTGATATTTCAGGAATTTCACTGAAGTATATACTTATTTACAACTTCCAAGACTAATGTCAGTGCACAGGTAGACTTTAATATGATCATATTGATGAAAAATCTTAGTACACTATTTTTAAAAATGTAAAACTTGCATCTCACAAATCATGCAAATCATGTCAATATGCCCCAAGCCCAAATTTGAGTAACAACACAACATGAATTTTTATAATTAAACAAACATTTTCAAAGTCCAATTTTAAAAGATCATGATCATACAACTATTCTATCTTGGGGTTTAAAAATAAAAGATAAAATCATAATAGATAACCTATATGACTATTATATAATTTCAAGTATCTAAATGAACACACAAATGATGTCCATGCTATAATTCTTATCATCAATTAGACATGTGAGCCAGTGAATGAAATTTATAAATGTACCATCTGTTTTTCCATTTATATTAGTGTAGACACTGGACAGGAAGTGTGAGGCCAAATACAGGGGATCAAATGGCCTTAAACATTTTCTGAAATTACTATAACTTTAAACATTTAAGATGGTAAATAAACAATAAATGGATTTTTAAATTTTTTTTATTATAATATATATATATATCAAATATTCAAGATAAAGATCATTTATTCAACCAGGTAACATTTTGAAGAAAATAGGAATTAAATTCCCTTAAACAACCCCAACACATTTAGAATTTGAAATTGGACAACAAGCAAAGATGTCTTATATCGTGAACAAAATGGTGCAGATGCATGAAATAGTTCAAAACAGTTCTATAGTTTAACATTAGATTAATAGTGCAGATGTTTTCTTCTGGTGACATGACTGTTTGGTTTTTAAAGGAGCATTGATGTTTACATGCATTTTGGATAATATCTTTTGGTGAGTAAAAATAAATCAGATTCCACCATTTTGAATATGTGCATATGGCAATAAGAGTAAAGGAAAGACTTATAGAATGTTTACCTAATATCTAAACAGTATGTATGCTTTTAATAACTATAAATAAACTATTGTTCTTAAAAAAAAACAAACATTTATCAAAAGAAAAATGCAACACAAGAACTGTGAGAAAACTCAAAAAAGATATTTACCCCAAGCAAATTTGCAGATAATATCGCTGAAATAGGTCCCTTAATTTAAGATACATGCTTCTGGAATGCATCTTTTATTCTAAAACTTTCAAATATATGATTGAGTAGAAAAAGTTGCTAAAAATAATTGTCAGGAGATATTTTAAAGTCTATGATATATAAATGGGTCAAATTGTCTTGATCCTTAATGTCAGGATACATTTATACACAAAATATATACATGTATGTACTCATTTAAATAAAAAAAAAAAGCATGTTGACTTGAACAAATCTGACATACTAATGCATGAGATTTGGTATTTTATATTTTTTTTTTTATCAAACTTTAGATCTTTAACTTTTATTTTGTTTCAGATTTACTGTTAAACACATTCAACAGCTCTGATATTATGCAGATCTATAGTGAGGACCAAAACATGTGACCAGCTTAAACCAGTCAAGAGGGCTTTTGGGAAAATTTGACTGTAGTGTACTATAGAAAATAAATTTGTTTACAAGTGATTTGATTTTGAAAATGCCATCAAATGTGCGGTGTAGAAAAAAATTCAGAAGAATGAATACTGTCTTTTCATAGATTTTGTAAAGGATAAGGATCCATGTTATCAAGAGACAATATCGAATATTCCAGGTTAACAAGTCCTAATAGGGAAGTTTTTAAAACCTGTGATTTCTCAGGACAAACCTGGGATATTTCAGGTTTACTAGTCCTGAAAAGCCCTAAAACCCTGGGACTTCTCAGGACAAACCTGGGATGTTTCAGGTTTACTAGTCCTGAAAAGTCCTAAAACCCAGGGACTTCTCAGGACAATCCTGGGATATTTCAGGTTTACTAGTCCTGAAAAGTCCTGAAATGTCCCATTTGGTCCTATGTTTTTAGGATCAGGATTTCCTGGGATATCCTCGGAAATCCTGTTCAAATACTCTCCCTAAAAATCCTGAAAATTCTTGAAATTCAATTTTAGGAAGTCCTGGGATATTCCAAGAAAATATCTCAGGAAGTCCCAGGAAGGTCTTGGGATATCCTAGGATATCCCAGTAGAATCTTGCAAGGGTACTGTTGCCTTTATTTAACAGTGAATACTGTCTTTTAGTAGCTGTGAACATTATTGGAAATAGAATTGTTAAATAATCAATGACTTTCCAAATGTTTTTGCTGATCTTATATTACAAGAAATGAAAATAGAGATGTTTAGTCGATTATCTTAATGACCCAGAAAAATTATGTTTTGTGACTGCTTGATTATTTTTGTTTGCTTAACTCCAAATGGCAAATATTGCATGCATGTTCAGGACTAGATTTTTTTTCTATTAATAAACAAGGAAGTTCTTTCAATAATATAAGGGGTTTATCGTGTAAATTTGCTACGACTTTTAGAATGTCATTGGCAAATGACAGTTTATTTGGCTAGTTTTGCAATCTCCATGTAAATAACTTTATTTCCGTGCCTTTCTTTTCGTACAATGTGAACAATTTAACGAGATACTAAACAAATTCGAGGCAAGGTTCACTCAATTCGTCATTTTGACGTGCATTTTTACTTATTTCTCCGTTAATCTAGAACGTTTGTAGAAAATATTACATCTCACAAAAAGTAAAATCACAAAAATACTGAACTCCGAGGAAAATTCAAAGTCCCCAATCAAATGGCAAAATAAAAAAAACCAACACATCAAACGAATGGATAACAACTGTCATATTCCTGACTTGGTACAGGCATTTTCTTATGTAGAAAATGGTGGATTGAACCTGGTTTTAAACCTGGTTTTAATGACTTGGAAGTACAATAGAAAATAGTTATATACGTATATATTCTTCGATATCATGAAAAGAAAAAAATAAATAAATAGAAACCTACTTTTTCTCTGTCTATTAATGCACCGTCACTGTGTTGGTTATTAGATACCACCGAGTCCCAACATTTTTGTCAGTGTAGTTTAGACAAAGTGAACTTAGATTACAGCTGTTTACGCAACGTGAATAATGCAGCTTTTAGCTTTTTTCTTTTGAAATATTTCGTTAAGGTAGCTAGGGTGCCTAAATGACTGACAAGATATTTTTCTTAAACTTATGGGAAAGACTGCTGGGTCACTGTACGTTCAATTTCAATACAATTAACTGTTGACACAGAGATATGTTTCACCTATCGGCATTCAATTAAGAAAAAGACAACCTGATGGACAATAACATTGCATATTAATCATGTTAATTCAGTAACTGAACTATGATCTAGTGGGCAGGAGGTGAAAATGGTCGACAAATTGCGATGTTCAGACAGTAATCTAACTTAATAGATTTTATTGTAAGTAGTTCCTGACTTGGTATATATCATGACTTGGTAATACTTGGAAAGAGGGCCTCAAAATAATCGTCAAATTGATATGTTCTGAAAGGTCAGCTGATTCGTTCATATTTTGAGAGGAATTGTGTGTTTGATTGTAATAAAGCATGAAACTGTGCATAAATGTATATCTTCATGTGGTAGTCAATTTAAGCTATGAACACACTCTGACAAATTCAATACGGCGGGCCATTTTCAAGATGTCTAATAATCAGTCTAATTTTTTTCAGAAGGTTCACATTCAGTCAAGTTTTAGATAATTTACACGTACCAATGGTTCTACATGAATATTATAAATATGAAAGGTAAGTAAGAGAGATATTAATAAATCCACTGTTAAATGACATATTCCTTATAACTGGATATGACTCATTAATCTATTTAAACACGAGCACAGTTTAAACAGGACTGTACATAACATCATTGTCCGCATGCACTTGCATCTACTGGGACATCATTTCATATCTGTCGACCACATGTTATTACTTTTTTATTTGTTTGTGATAAATGCCCAAAAATACGAAGAAGGTATATGCCATCTGCATTCACTCAAAGTAGCACTCTGGGTAAAAAGCTGATACTTTCCCCCGCCTAAAGCGTTCCCCTGCTTGGAGAATGTTGTGTGTTTTTCTTTTAACACGTTCCTGGTGTAGAACATCATGTGATCACGTTATATAATTTCAACGGTGGATTGATACTTCTTTATTATAATAGCCAATTCTACAAATGTTCTAGACAAAACATTATTAAATGCTGTAGTTGTGAGATATTGATGGTCAATATGATTGCATCTTCATTCTTAAAAGTGTGTTATTCTACTCGTGGGCTCTATCTCC